GTTAAAACTTCTGCTAATTAGCCAAAGAACCCCCTCCACCATAGGTCTTCCAGAGAACCAGAACTATCGCCGGCCCCCTCCCCAGCAAAGGTTCTCTTCAGCAGGAAAACAGACTTGTCTTTCTCCATATCCTCTTAGAATTTGGAATGACTATTTCCTGCTGAGACTACACTTCCCAGATTCCCTTGTGGCGGGGCAAGGCAACTCCAGAAGGGAGGTACTGTGAGTGGGGAGGTAATGTAATAGTGGTAATCATTTCCACCAGTATAAAGATTGTAGCCATCTTCTTCCTGTGGACTTTCTTTCATTAGCCATGGCATGGGGTCATTCGCTCATCTGCCTGCATGGGGTGAGGCATTCATTCATCCATCTATCCATCCATCCGCATGGGTGAAATCATGTCTGTGTGTCTGCCAATAAGCATTGGCCCGCCTAAGTGCAGAGGCCTCTCCATTTCTGACTTCTGTTTTTCCTTTAAGCCACCTGCAGAACTTACTGGCTTGCTCCTCCTCAAGGCTTGCTCAGCCTGCTTTCTTATAAAACTCAGGACCACCAGCCTAGGGGTGCCACCATTCACAATGAGTTGGGTCCTTTCAGATCAATCACTAATTAAAAAACAAAACTAAACTAAAAGAAATGGTTCGCAACCTGTTAGTCGCAAGACCCATGGGGGTTGCATATCAGATATTTACATTACAATCCCTAATGGTAGCAAAATTACAGTTATGAAGTAGCATCAAGATCTGCTACTCACATCACCAGGGAGGCTACCTGGAAAACAGGACCCCAAGAAAGACACGGGGATCGCCCAATAACTGAGAAATGGATGGGATCTACATGAACACCCTGGACATGAGTGGGGATAATGAAAGGCGAGGGTCAAGGGAAGGAGAGCTTGGGGGAGCAGGAGATCCCAACTGGATGAAGAACAGAGAGGGAGAACAAGGAATAGGAGACCATGATAAATGAAGACCGCAGGAGAATAGGAAGAAGCAAAGTTCTAGAGAGGCCCACAGAAATCCACAAAGATACCCCCCACAATAGACTGCTGGCAATGGTCAAGAGGCAGCCCGAACTGACCTACTTTGGTGATAGGATGGCCAAACACCCTAATAGTCATGCTAGAAACCCCATCCAATGACTGAGAGAACTGGATGCAGAGATCCACGGCTAGGCCCCGGGTAGAGCTCCAGGAGTACAATTAGTGAGAAAGAGGAGGGTTTATATGAGCCAGAACTGTTGAGATCAATGTTGGATAAAGCACAGGGACAAATAGCCAAACGAATGGGAACATATGAACTATGAACCAGTGGCTGAGGGGCCCCCAACTGGATCAGGCCCTCTGAATAGGTGAGACAGTTGATTGGCTTGAACTGTTTAGGAGGCATCCAGGCAGTTGGACCGGGTCCTGTGCTCAGTGCATGAGCTGGCTGTTTGAAACCTGGGGCTTATGCAGGGATGCTTGGCTCAGCCTGGGAGGAGGGGACTGGCCCTGCCTGGACTGAGTCTACCAGGTTGATCTCAATACTCAGGGGAGGCTTTGCCCTGGAGGAGGTGGGAATGGGGGTGGACTGGGGGAAAGGGGAGGGGGTGCTAGGGGGGAGAACAAGGGAATCTGTGGCTGATATGTAGAACTAAATTATATTGTAAAATAAAATAAAATAAAATTTAAAAAAATAAACTCAAAAAAAAAAAATAACTGTATGGTTGGGGGACACCACAACATGAAGAACTGTATTTAAGGGCTGCAGCTTTAGGAAGGTTGAGAACCACTGGCCTAAATGTTTGCCTACAGCCTGATCTTATGGAGGAAATTTGTCAATTGAGGTTACTTCCTCTCAGATGACTCTAGCTTGTGTCAAGTTGACAAAAAAAATAAAGCCAATTACCTCATGGCAGGTGACTGTATTGGACTACTTCCTTCATGATAAGGACAATACTTTGTCCTTACTGCTTACTTAGATCCATTTACTGCTGTCTGAGCATCTCTAAATGGCTTTCCACAGTATACACATGTTGTCTGATAGACTCAGGCAGGCTGTAATCCACGGGTACTGCTTTCTGTAGTGGTTGTCCCATGGTACTGGTGCTGCAACTAGGCTGCACTTCACCAATAGCTTCTTCTGTGCTCTTTTCATAGTTCAAAACCTCAACTTCTCTGTAGGGCCCCTTCCATCCTGGGGCTACTCCACCTTCACCAATGGCCTCTTCTGGCCTCTCACAGTGCCAAGTCTCAGTGCTCTCCATGACCCCTAATAATTGATTGTCCAATACAAAGTTGTCAACAACAACAAAAAAAAACTTAGTGGGTTATACTTATATATGAGGAAGGATATTTTGAGGGAAGGTACTGGAGGGAGGAAAGGGAATGGGAAAGCAATGTAATTATATTTTAATTAAAATGTTTAAAAAATAAAAACAAAAATATTTTTAACTAAAAAAAAAAACATATATGATCTTGGAGGGCTAGGCATGTGACCCAGTCATAGAAGGAGCACATTTAAGGAATCAAATTTGATCCTGAACACTGTAAACGCATAGCTAACAACAACAAATCTAACTTAAAGTTGATTTTGAGAATAATCGGTGAGTTGATACCTGAAATGTGTTACCATATTGCTGGAAAGAAAACTTTGATGAAGCAATATGGAAATATGGGATAGACTCCGGAGCATTTCCAATTTTCCTTAATAGATAAAATATAATAGAAGACTGAAGTTCACTATTGCTCAAAGTTGGACAATCCCTGAAGAGAAGGCCAGGCCAGATTAAAATATTGAGTCCCTGGGGAACTAAAGAGATGCAATTGCCCAGTGCATAAATGCAATTGCCTCATTTTCTGTCTATATCAAGCATCTCTTCTCTTGGAAGGCAAAAACCATACATCTACTTTTCTCATATTAAGAGGTACATTAGGTTTTTAAACACATGTGAGCTCTTTATTTTTTGGGGGGTGCCTAAACTGTCAACTGTGATAAGAAAGGCTATTCATATTTCCTGTGATTCCTCAGAAGACTAATAATTTTCTTAGATGTTATGACTAATAACTCAAAAAGATACCCAGGATAGAAAAGATTATTTTTATTCTGTTTCCTTTTATAGTTAAAGGAATTAAAGCCTCATAGTCCAATATTACACTTCTAGAATGATAGGAGTGAATTTCAGTTATAAGGAAATATCAAAGTTTGGTCTCATAAAAAAGCAAGTTTTCAATTAATAATTTCAATTAATAAATTATACTAATTATTTTGCTTTTATTTAACAACTTCATTGGTATATTTAAAATGATATATATATATGACATTTAAAACATTATGTTTTAATTAAAATATTAACTAATATTAACTAAAATATTCATTGTGATATAACTCAACAATGAAGCTAATTCAAATGTGCTTCCCTGTTTATAAGATGCTTTTTATGTATTTTGTGTGCATACAGTCAGTGAGAAGGTATTTGAAGAAATGCCCTGTTAGTAAATTCCAAGTATATAATATAACATTTTGACCATAGTCAGCATGTTGAACATTAGAACCCAATTATGTTGCATAACTGAAAATATTAACTTTGGTTTGCATCAACTGATTTCCTTACTGACACCAGCAACCAACATTCTACTCTTTGCTTGTGTGAACCTAACTGCTTAAGACTGCAATTCAGTATATTTCATGTGGTATTCTCCCTCAATTTCTTGCCTTTTATATTTGCAAAATAGTCCCACACTGATACGATCTACCGTGCTTTAGGATGCACAGTTTTCTTTCCAGTGTTTGCAGTCCTAAAATTCAGTGACTTTCCTGGGAGCATCTTGAAGGTGAGCAGAGAACATTCAGATTCTGAACAGAGTGCTTGCAAGGGTTTTACCAGCAATCAACTCCATGAACATTTCTCATGCTATTCCACATTTAAGAGTTTCTCTGTGTCAGACACACCTTAACCTTTCCTAAAATCAGTGTTCATGCTTCCAACTTTACTGAGTCCAATCTGGCACCTCATCATTAGGTTTCTATAATTTATATCTGGGCTAGGGAAGAAGCAAATTCATGAAGACATGGTAAGTGAGAACTATATGAACTTTTCCAAGGGAGATGTGAACAAATGGCTACTTAGCTCAGCTAGGATACCAAAACTGAACCAAATTAATCTACTAAAGTTTAATTTGAAAAAACAATGAGTTTATTGAGTTTACTGCAACATGGATGAGGTGTGACTAATAGGAATATGGATGATCCCAAAATATCTACATCAGGGAAGAGTCTTATCCCAGGATGGATGATGACTTCCCCATAGCTGTGCAGGTGGAGTGCTCCTTTAGTTAACCTTCCATACCCTACATAGTCAGCACCTCAAATCATCATGTAAAACTGAGGCAAAATTACATACAGCTGAGAATTTAGAACAGAGTGAATACCTGGGATCTCATGTGGTGGTCTACTGAACCTCTCTACCTTCTTCTGTGAGGGAATATCAAGGCAGAAACTTGAGGATCTTTTGCGGGTAACCACAGCTTCTCTTAGTTAGATAGTAATGGATAGTATTCTTTGAAGCCAGCACCCTACACCAAATAGATAAGGGCAACTTTGTCTTGAACAATCCTACTTCATTCTTCTCCCCTGAATTTTCTAACAGTTAAATTAGAATATGGCAAATGGCAACACTGGGATCATCTTTGATGGTGAAATTAGTGATAATCTGTTATTTTCAATTTTAAGACTCTAATATAGGGTGTAAGACATTATATATTAATGTGTAACATGAAAGATTTCTCCATTGATTCATTTTTGTTTTTTGTTTTTGTTTTGACACGGGATCTCTTGTAGCCTGTGGTGGACTTGAACTTACTATATATCCAAGGATAACTTTGAAGGCCTGAGTTTCCTGTATCTACCTCTTAAGTACTGGAGTAACGGGCATGTACTACTATACTTAGCAAAGAATTCTTTAATTTCATGCTGAGCATTTTCAGATATTGTCAACTTATACCTCATATTTTTGGGACAAGCTACTGTGGGAAGATCTATACTGTCCTCCAGTTTTTCTATATTATTTTTGGTCCACAAATTGTCTTGGAGAAGAATGGTTCTGGCAAATGGCTCTATTGTGACTGAATTCATTCTCTTGGGATTAACAGATGATCCCAGACTCCAAATGCCTCTTTTCTTACTGTTTCTATTAATGTATATGATCACAGTACTGGGGAACTTGACTTTGATTATTTTAATTATGTTAAATGCTCATCTACACACCCCCATGTATTTTTTCCTCTTTAATTTGTCCTTTGTAGATCTCTGTTATTCTTCTGTGATTACACCCAAAATGATGATGAATTTTATACTACAGAAAAATCTTATCTCTTACATGGGTTGTATGTCCCAGCTCTACTTCTTTTGTTTTTTTATAATTTCTGAATGTTATGTACTGATGTCAATGGCCTATGATCGGTATGTAGCTATCTGCAATCCACTCTTGTATAACACTGCCATGTCCCCACGTGTGTGTTCTTATCTTATGCTTGGTTCATATTTGATGGGATTTTCTGATGCCATGATCCACACTGGTTGCATGCTCAGACTGACCTTCTGTGATGGAAACACCATCAACCACTATTTCTGCGATGTCCTCCCTTTGCTGCAGCTCTCCTGCACCAGCACCTATGTCAATGAGACGGAAATCTTCATTGTAGGGGGGAAAGACATCATTTTGCCCAGTGTCATCATCTTTGTCTCTTATGGCTTCATCATCTCCAGCATCCTCCAAATAAAGTCCACGGTGGGTAGATCCAAGGCCTTTGGCACCTGCAGTTCCCACATAATTGCTGTCTCTCTGTTCTTTGGATCATGTGGATTTATGTACCTAAAACCTTCTTCTGCTATATCAATAGACCAAGGAAAAATATCTTCCATTTTTTATACCATTGTGGTTCCAATGTTGAACCCCTTAATATATAGCTTGAGAAACAAAGATGTTAAAATTGCCCTAAGAAATATCCTGAATAAGAAGAAGATTTTTATATAGTTACAACATAGAGATTTTTAGTGTTGCATACATATTTTTTAGTCACAGTTTTGTACAGGATTCATAGATGTTTCTATCATTATTGTTCCTTTTAGCTTTTGCCTGTTTAGGAATAGTTATAAGTGATATTTCTTACTGTTATTATAAAATGTTTCTTAGAAAATATGAAAGAATCTGACTTTGATTAAAGTAACAATAGGTTGCCATCACTTTACTGTGGACAGTTTTTATTTTTATTTGAAATAAATTCAAGATCAGACATTCTGTCTGTACCATTCTCTTTCTTTCCTTCATGAGGGAAGAATATGTTGCTTTCAAATACCAGAAAGGAATTAACACCAATCCTTCTTGATTCACAGTTAATACAGCATATCCTGCAAATGTAAATTCTGTGCAGTAAATATTTTTGTCAGATGTGTTATACTTGCCTTGTGGAAATAAAACAATGCCTATTAGTATGTGAATATATAGCTATGTTATAAACAGGATTCTGAAACTTAGAGAGATTGGTAGCTTACATTATCTCCCACATCTACTTATGACAAAAATCAAGAATTCAAGCACACCATATTATTCACCACACTTTTTGTCTGCTTTTCCTGAAAATCCATTAAAAGACAGTGTGAATAATATTTCTAATTAATAATTTAACTTCTTTGTTTTATAAGGTGAATTTCACTAAAATGTCTGTAACATTTTTCACTTTATTACTTACCTGTACTTTGTTTCTTTTTGTTCTATAAATCCACATAAGAGTTGCACCAAAGTGAGGAGAGCTTGGGGGAGTGGTGGGAGGAAAAACTGTGGTTGGGATGTATTATATGAGAGAATAGAAGAATATATTTTTAATCATAAAAAATCACTTTATTCTTGGATGAGGGAAAAAGTTCCATCACTTTTTGTTGAAGAAAACTGTTTCATTGGAGGTCCCTTTTCTTGGGAAAAAGGATGGATGTGCTGCTTTGTGAATCTTTAGTTACTGTAATTTCTCTTCTTTACTCATAAAACATTGGTCATTCTTATTATTCATGATGAAAATTGCTTAACAGAGTTTCAAGATTAAGAGAAAATATTATGGGCACATTGTGAGGAATGAAGAAGAAAGGAGTCAACTTCAGGACACACAGCAGTGAATGGTTGTTGAAACTCAAGGTGGAAAGAAATCAGTTCAGATACAAAACAATGGAGGAAGTGGAACCTCTGTTTCTCTTTTGTAGAAGACTCTAAAAAATGTAGGCTATAGAATTTCTCTGGAGATATTGGGTTATGTTACTTAGCACTAAAGAATGACTAATTCCAGCAGGCAGAAGGCTTTGTGTACAACTGAATTACTGCATCAGTTTTGTTTTCCTGCATTATTCCTAATGAATTTTAAGGTAAAACTTCATGTCACTTGAAAGAGTAATAAGACTTTTGGGATATGTGATTCATAAATAAAAAACTTAGTGGCAGTCCTCTTGAAAGGATGCTGTATGTTTTCTTAAGAGAAAACAGGCAAAGGATGACAAAAGTGAAATTCCCAATCTGATATCATGGCTCAGTTGAAATGCTTGTGTTTTGTTTGTTTGTTAATATAATAATAACATATGCCATTTCCTCAAGTTCTCTATTTCCAAGATTGGGGATTCAGAAAGTTTATGTAGGTGGTTTGTCATTTCATTTGCTTGGTTTAGAGTGTTTGGCACGTTTTGATTCCTGGCTTTTGATTTCAAGTCTTCACTTGTGTGAAGTTATTCCAATATTTTTCACAAATTTTATTTATCTAAAATAGTTTAACTTCAAAGTAGTATCTTTTCATTTTTTCCTTTATATACCATAACTTTTGGTAAAAATCATTTTCATTATGCTGCATAGTAGAATTATATCTCAAAGTGGGTAAATTCCAAATGGCTTTAAGTTAAAATTGGTCTTAAAATTGATTATGTTAGCCTAAATGTATAGGTTAAGGACTAATATAGAATTTCACTATGATTCTGACACATTTGGTTTTTTTGTTTTTTTTTTTGGCTCTAGCTTTGGGACATTTCATTATTAATTCCAGCAATTTTAAGGGGATAAACAGGTCACTAGATGGGCTCTGATGTACAAATATATACCATTATATATTGAAATCCCACCCTGCAAAGATCCTGAGGGCAGGTCCACTGTTTTCCTCAGTGAGGAATCTGATGTAATCATCTGCATGTTTTAAAGTTTTTCTCAGACAAAATTTTAACCATTTTAACCATTTAACTATCTCAGACAATAGTTTAACCATTGACAAAATCAGTAGTACCTACACAGCTTGTTAACATATTGCCTCAGGAAGACTGTTAGGCACTGCTTCCTTTTCAGCAGCGATCTGTCAATCTTTGTTATAACTAGGAAAATTTCAGAAGACAAAGGGGGAGAGAGTCTCTTCCAGCTTCGTAGATGCTGATGCTGATGCTCAGAGATGACACCAAGTTGCTTCAAATCACAATCGAAAGTGATGTGATTGATACATGGACTTTTCATTAAAAATCAATAATTATAAAACAAAACAAAAGTATGATGATTAACACAGAAATCCACATGTGGTGAAAGTCCAGAGAATAAGAGACCATGGGATGTACAACCCTATTGGAACAACTGTATCACACCCCTCCTCCTAAGGCTCAGGGTTTGTTCTAGCAGAAGCAGAAAGATTTTAAGAACCAGAGGTGGTATATGACCACAAGGAAAGAGTGCTTTCTGGACACAACAGTTCATTTACACATATTAATTCCAGCTAGTCGTGGCAGCATGCCCAAGAACTAGGTAAGTGCAAGCCAGACACAATCTGAATATTAAGAGGGAAAGTAGACGTGAAGTCCTGCTCTTGTCCAAAGAGGCAGAGTCAGTTTTCTTTAAGGGGGTGGCTCTACTCCAGTGGAAAGCCATGTACCTAAGAATCTATGGGCAGCACAAATTGGATGTGATGGACTTACAAAATACAAAGGAAGAGGGGGAAATTGAGGGGGTAAGGAACAGGTAGTGGAGCTTGGGGAAAACAGTGAACATGGTCAACATACATTATATAAAAGTTTCAACCTTTTACAAAAAGAATAAATAAGTGCAACAATAATTGTTTAATGAGTAAAAGTGCTTATATACACAGGAAGAACAAATACTAAACTAAAAAAATGTTCAGAAAGCATTTTAGTAACTCATATTTTATATTTATGTTTATATATATATTTATATTTATTATAATTTTTTTATATTTATATTTATCATATTTTATAGATTTATTGCTAAGTTTTGATGATTTAAATATCCATAATTTACACTGGCAGACATAGTAAATGGAAATATAAGGTAACATCTGTCATCATCCTTTTTTTGGGTACTTACCTTGTTCCAGAATCATCAATGTATGCTTGAGTACCATATTTCACTTAATTTCATATCACAGTTATCTCAGCCATATGATCAGTTCAAGTGAGGCTAAGGTAGCTGCTTCTCTCTTTCCTCTGGAGCACATATTTATTCCAAGGGTCTTATAGTGATATGGCCTACAACAGTCATACACATCACAGATGCCATTCCAAGACTAGTGTCTTTCCCACATTATCTTTGTAACATAAAGACAGACGACAATCAGGCTTGTTTGAGTGGTGAGGCTATAAAAAAATCCAGAGGAGTTTTTGAGTAGAATCAGCATGGTGGAAAAAAAGAATGGATTCAGCTATGTTCACAGAGAAGCACAGAGAGGATATTGGGATGATGGTACTATTCTGTTTACAAGTCTGAAGGGTGGTTACAAGTCTTCATCTTCTACATATAAATGTGTTTATATTTTAAATAATTTTATACTTACAATATTTGTTACCATACAATAAAGTTAAAGCTTTGTTTGGAAATCTATTCAACTGAGCAACATATAAATCCAAGATAACAGAAAAAGGCACCAATATTTGAATTGTATAAACATCTAATAGAATTTGTCTCATGTTGGAAAACAACAACAGAGAAAGCCCATTGAGAAAGCTACACTGAGTAAAGGCATTGGGTTATTCCTTGTACCATGTCAGGTATGCATTTCCACAGGACATGAGGATTCTATAACAGAAGGTCGGTGTACCCATGCTGTAGATTTGTACCATGCTTAGAGCAATGATATAACAAAGACGGTGTTGCGACATATTCTATGATTATATTTTCTTAACCTCTTCAACATACTTGATAAGTCTCATTATGAATTTACACAAACTTTGTCTGCAACTGCTCCAAGATTTTTTTAACTTTTGCCTATTGTTTTCTCTTTTATCTGTTATTTTCACTTTGTAGTTGTTGTTTGCTTATTTTAATTACCCAGGATCTTGTCATGTCAAAATTGTCCTGCCCTAAATGTTCTAGTGCTCAGATTCTTGATATGTGCCACCATATGGAACTTGTAATTGCATAGTGTGAAAGTACACACACACACACACACACACACACACACACACACACACACACACTTCATAAAGTTTACAATCTGAACTATTTTGGATATTTTATCGAAAATACATTTTTTCATATAATATACTCTGATTATGGTTCCCTTCCACCAACTCCTTCTTGCCCCCTCAAACTTCCCATCTACCCAAATCCATGTCCTTTATTGCTCTCTCTGTTTAGAAAACAAGCAGGCATATTAAAAAGAAAGGAAAAATAAAATAAGATAAAACACACAAACACACCTTCATAGGACAAAACAAACAAATAAACAGAAAAACAAAGAGCCAAAGAAAAATCAGAAGAAGAACATATAGATGTATAGACACACAACACACATTGGCATGCACAGATATCTCCTAAAACACAAAATGCGAAACCATAGTATGTAAGCAAAACATATATATGGTAAGTAAAACATACTCAAAGCATTATGAGAATAATAAGTAAGTAAGCAAGCAAGCAAATAAATAATATTGACTTTGTTTTGTGTTTCTAATGCCATCTCCTCTGGCTCTTACACTCTTTCTGCCTCTGAGTCCCCAGGGTGCCCTGAGCAGTGAGGGTAAGGAACTGTCAGAGACATCCCACT